CATAATAAGGAATATAACATAATTCCCACAGGGTCCTAAAGGTAATGCAGGATTTGACCATCAACAGTACCAGGCCCGATGACTAGTCTGCAAACAGTAGGAAGACCAGCACAAGAGTTTAGGGTTTAGGGATTGAACCAAACTCCTAAGCCCTAAACCCTAAACCCTAAACCCTAAACCTAAAGATCCTGAAAAGCCCGTGAAAAGACTTGAGGGAAGGAGCTGCCCTGAGTCAGCAAGTCCAAAACATCGACACTCCAGTCGATGAAGATCAAGGTGAAGTCAAAGAGCCTCAGCACTACGGTTGATGATATAAATCCTGCATTACCCATGAGAAGCAATAGTTTAGGGTCCTTAAGGTAATGCCGGCTTTGTATCATCAACAGTAGGTCAACGTAAATATATTCACAAACAAAAGGCCAACAACCTCTAAACCGAATCCCACATAAGGATTGCAGCGTGTAAACCTGAACCCTAAACCCTTCGGGGTTCAAAGCTTGTGGAACGATTGCAGGGCCTCAGCTAGATATAATTGGGGGAATCCGGGACATGCTTTAGTCTCCATTGTAGTTCCTTTTCTGGGTTAACCAACAAAAAAAAGGATCCGACCGTATCCGAACCGAAATATTGGTCAACCAAAACAGGAACGATGGAGACGATATGGGCACTAAGCAGGCTGATCGCATAAAACAGCCGAGTTGCGTCCAGGTCTTCGCATAATGACGGGCAACTTTACAGCGCTCCATGACCAAGAAGCCCTTTCGGTAGTAGCCGGTGAAGAAGGTCAAGACGAAGTCGGAACCTCGGCTTTTTGAGCCAGGCTAACCTTCCAAGCCCGAAGAAGGATCCAAGTAGTCAGAATTTTTAGGTTTTGTTTTAAAGTGCAATGACTCCCTTTCTTATTTGTAGGATTTAGGCTTTAGGGTGTTCGATTCAAGAAGGGCTCAAAGTTCTAAGATACCCGACAGCTGAACGAACAGTTCTGCTTTTGCCTGCGTCAGAAACTCCAAAACAGCTCCACCACCAGCGACATCGGGTACCTCCTTGGCGGGTCGTACAGGCCCTGGCCCACTTAGCTTCCCTGCAGCTAAACCCCAGCCTACCCCACGCCGAAGACCCAAACCCAGTGAAACCCTGAACTGTTTGGGGTTTAGGGCTTCCGGGTTTACGGTTTACCTAGATCCCTGAACCTAAACTCTAAGCTCACAAACCCTAAACCCCAAACCCCTCAATCCGAAGCCCTAAACCGCCAAGCCCTACGCCCTAAGCCCCAAAGCCTAAAACCCTTAGCCCCTCAATTCACCTAAACCCTAAACCCTAAACCCTAAACCCACAAACTCCAGCGAAGTTGCGCCAGCCACTCTGGGAGGCTGAAAACCAACCTCCAGCGCTGAGGGGCCCGAGGATCCTATAGGGGGCCTTCTATGTACCCTTTAAAGGTTTAGGGTTTAGGGTTTAGGGTTTAGGGTTTAGGGATTAGGATTTAGGGTTTAGGGTTCCTTCGAGGGTCATTATGAGGGTTCCTTTGAGGGTCTCTAATTCCCTAGACCCTAAACCCTAAACTCTGAACCTTAAAAGGGGTTGGGGTCCGGTTTGGGGTTTTAGGATTGCTCGTGCCCACAGGGCCCTATGGTACCTTTAAGGCTTGAAGGGTTACTATAAGGGCTTCTTCAAGCGTACTATAATTAGGGTTTGGGGGTTGAGGGGGTTTACCAGAGGGTCCAAAGTAGCTAGACAGTAGAATGTACGGTCTCTATATCAGGAGTTACCATTATGATTTGGAGAAGTATCCCACAGAACGGGACCCTTTGGCCCAGAGGTGTTTAGATTTGCGGTTTAGGGTACTTAAAGGATCATGGGACTTAGTAGCTGGGGTCATAGTTGAGGTAACTGTACTTACAGTTACTTATAACCCCAATCAAGGTACTTATAACCTTACTTACTAAGTCCCATGATCATCCAAGTACACTGGAACGGTCCAAGAAGCAAGGGGGTGACCAGCAAGTCGTACATCACGAAGGCGCCCACCAGCAGGTTCCATACAGCTCGGACGGTGCCACTAGGATGCAGCATGCAGGTGCAGCGTCTAGTAGATGACCGCAAAGTATTGCTGCCTGAAGTTTTAGGGTTCAGGGTTAAGGGTTAAGTGGTCGTATGTGGTTTTAGGTCATCTGCACGGAGCATGGATCAAGCTACTGAGTTACGATTGGTGTAAGAGTGACAATAGGGGCCTCAATAATTAGAATAGGGTTTTGTTGCCCATGATACTATGATTATAAGAAGGAACCCCAAAATAGTATAATAGGTAATTATTAAGGCCCCTACATTACTTTCCACATACCGAGCCTGTGATGACACTGGGTGCTCCCCCGGGTTCAATGCTGGTCGCACCAGTCACCTTTCGATGCGTGGTTCTGACCTTACTTCCTCAAGAAGCCAGGAAAATAAAAGGTTAAACTTTCAAATTACTACTAAACTAGAAGAGCCCAAAAAGGCTAGAGGTCGGGTATTGGAGAACTAAGTGACAGATGCACCCTCCTGCCAACACAAGTGGGTGTGCAGCTGGAAGTTGCCGATGTCGCTGTCCGAGTCGGATTCCTCCTCTTCCATCCCAGTACGGTGCAGTCGTTTCCTTACTTGCTTGGTTTCAGGGCTCAGGAGCCTCCAAAACTAGAAATCCCTTTAACCCCAAACCGCTAGGGGGAAAGGCTTGTTGTAAACCCCAAAAAGTTGGAAACCGGATTAAAGACAAAAAGTGCTGGGATCCCCTATATATTACTCTTGAGGATTGAGGCTATTGGGTTTCCAACTTTTGGGCTTCTACTATAGGCACTTAGCCTTAAAGAGTGCAAAACATCGTCAGGCTCCTGGCCTGAGCTCCAAAGTCTTGTAGTTGAGGCATACTACGCGTAAACCTTATAGTCTCGAAAGAAGAGCCTGAGAGAATACTTAGAATAGGGTTTTAGGTGCGGGGGTATTAATGCTACTTAAGCATCATAAGGAACCCCGGTAGTATTACGTAATTTGAAACCCCTAGATTGTAGAATTTTGCGTTGACATACCTCCCACACTGGCCCGATTATAACCACGATGGCCCCTAAAAAAGGGATCCTTCGTGTTCGAACCCGGGACTTAAGGAATGTTGGAAATGCTAGATGCCCTGAGACCAAGCATCGGGCTCAAATAGCCCCAAAGCCTTATATAGTCTGGTCTTTAGGGTTCAGGGTTTGGGGTTTTGGGGTTTTGGGGTTTAGGGTTTAGGGTTTTGGGCCCAAAAGCCTTAAAGTGTGAGCCCTTAGAGTCTCAAGGCAAGCTTCAAGGATTGCAGCAAGTCTGTAGATTTGCCCGCCGACGGGAGGTTGGCCAGATCACCTCGCTCGTGGTTCAGGGCTAGGTGTAAGGATTTAGGGTTTAGGGTTTAGGGCTAAGGGTCCATTTCTGACTTATCAGGTTTGATAACTTAGGGGCTGAGTACCCTAGCCCAAACAAAAAAAGCTAACCTTTTCAATTACAGTAGGATTATATGAGCCCCAAAAAGGTTAAAGGTTATCTACTCAGCTACTAATTTCTGATTTATTAGGTTTGATAAGTGTTAGGGCTCAGGGATTAACATGGGCAGCCCTTGGACGTTAGAATGGGCTGCCGGGGGGATGTTACTATGGTCATAAATAATTAGCATATGGGGATGATAAGCGGGCAGGATTGCAAAGTCTTGGACCTGAACATGCAGCCATGGCTTCTGCTGTTAATGGCCTAGCGCAGAAGCCTTAAAAATCAGAACAGGGTTTTGGTGTCTATGATACTATAGACATTATAAGGAACCTCGACAATAGTATTGGTAATTATTCTAAGAACTTGCTGTCGGGATCTTTCTATGCAAGTCGAAGAACTTGAAGACTTTTTTTATAGAGTTCGTTCCTCCCGTCACTTGATACCCTAAACCGCCCTAAACCCTAAACTCTAAACCCCTAAACCCTGAACCCTAAAGCCCTAAAGCCTAAAGCCTAAAGCCTAAACCCCAAACCCCTAAACCCGAAACCCCAAACCCTAAACCCTACAAGCGAGGCAGATTCGCCCTCCGGCGGTTTCGGCTCCTGCGAGCTTGGAGGCGCCACACCTACCAGGGCCCGCAGGAGCACAGGGCTTAGGGGTCTAGGGTTTAGGGTTAAGGGTTTAGGGCACAAGGCTTCGGGGCTTCGAGGTCAAACCTCAACCTCAAAACCTCGTATAATATAGGCGCCTTAATAATTAGCATAGGGTTTTGGGTAGCTTATACGAATAAAAAGGAACCTCCCGCCTAAACCCTGAACCCTAAACCCTAAACCTGGTAATTAGTTAGACCCTTCTATTAAGCCCCGAACTCTCAAACCTTGAAAGCTTCGGGCCCCAGACCTCCTTTGGGGTACATTATACCATAGGGTTTAAGGTTTAGGGTTTAGGGTTTAGGGTTTAGGGTTGTTGTAATAATGAGCCCCCAGAATAGTATAGTTACTTAGCCCCCTATCGGAAAAGATTTTGGCATCCCGGACCTAATCCCTAAACCCTAAACCCTGCCTAAAGCGCCCGATGTGGGCTCATCATCCGGCGTGGCGCCCGTCCACGGGACGGTGATGCAAATGCTCATGCGCCTGCCACCTCACTCGGCTTAGGGAACCGTAAACCCTAAACCCTAAACCCTAAACCCTAAACCCTCAACCCTAAACCCTCTTCGGGTTTGGGCCTTTAAGACTTGGTGTTTAAAATTGGGTTTCGGGGTCTAGGGTTTCATAACCCTGAGGGTCCATGTACCCGAATAGTATATAAACTGGCCCCAAAGTACTTATATAGGGACTACTTTAAGGCCAAAGTATATCTATTTAGGTACATGGACCCTTAGGGTAACACATTGCTGAGACTTGAGATTGACTTGGATGTTCTTTTCTAGTCAGTTTCTTGGATTGTAGTGAACATCAGAACAGAGGATATTCTGCACTCCCCGCAACCCACAAACCTAAACTTAAGCCTAACGCCTGAAACCCTAAAGCCCCAAAACCTGACGAAACTCGAACCTCTCGAAACCTCCACAACCTAACGCTAGACTCCATGTTGAAATGCCCACACAAGCCAAGCTGCTGTTGCTGGGGGTTGGAAGTGGCAGAAAGGAGTCCTCCTGCACTCAGCGCGCTTTTCGGGAAAAAGAACGGAACATGCAGAAGGTATTCCTCTCCTCGTTCTTAAAGTCTTCTGGTTGGCCTGGTGTTTCCCTGCTATTTCAACTCTCGGACACGTAGACAAGCGAAAGACGTCCTCCGACGCCATCAGCAAGTTCTGGTCAGAAGGGCTCTTGCAGCCTCCACCTGCGGGAGGTCGTTGGACTTCGTGGGTGGTGGATCTCGTGCTTAGGACTTCGGGTGTCATCCGGATTCCTGTCTGCGATGTCACAGATTTAACCCCAAACCCTAAACCCCGAA